GGAAGGGAATTAAATTCATTTGTGATTTAGATCGGATCAAATCAAGATGCAGTCGACCAACGGTCCTGATCTGAGCCCACAACAACAACCGCCGCAACAGCAGAACCAGCCTCCCCAACACCACCAGCAGTCTCTGCAGCGGCATCCGCAGCAGTGGGTGCCGCAGCAGTGGATGGGAGCCATGCAGTACCCCGCGGCGGCTATGGTGATGATGCAGCAGCAGATGATGATGTACCCACATCATTACATGGCTTACAATCAGCATTTCCAGTATCAGCAGTATCAACAGAAGCAGCAGCTGCAGCAGCAGTTCTCGCAGAAGCAGCAGGGATCTGCGGATGAGGTTAAGACGATCTGGGTCGGTGACCTTCTTCATTGGATGGACGAGGCTTATCTCCATGGTTGCTTTTCGCATACTGGCGAGGTCAGTCCTAAGGAAACATAAATAGATGCATATTACTTATCTTTGTTAATGTTGCATTTAATTTCCTTTTACCACTTTGTGAATTTTGTTATGCATCTAATTTTGATTTATTTGTGTTGTTTAAGGAATTCTTATTGGTGTTGTGGTTGCTTTTCTTTTTTCTATTTTTGGGAGAATATGATTGGAGCTTTGTGCCTTTGTGGGCTTAAGAAGCAATCAAAATTATGACCTTTACCTTTTATGTTGACAAAAAGCACTAAGTTTTGAAGATTGTTAGTTAAGTTATATATTGTCAAGATCATTATAGTTTTTTAGTTATAATTAATAATTACTGTTTATGGTGTTGGATTGAATCTCCTGATTTGTGTTTTGATTAATTCATAGGATTTTAGGAGATTAATGCTATGGTTTTAATTAAGTTTATCAGGATGATAGAAAGTATTAAGAAATGGGTTATTAGTTTTTCATAGATATAATTCGTTGCTCTCATGAGTTAGATTCCTCTTGATTGGGGGCAACAGTTTTCCTTCTCCTGCCTCTCCTTTAATTATTTTTGCAAAAATATTTGTAAATTTATGAAATGGGTTATTAGTTTCTTGTAGATATAATTCGTTGCTCTCATGAGTTAGATTCCTCTTGATTAGGAGCAACAGTTTTCCTTCTCCTGCCACTCCTTAAATTATTTTTGCTAAAATATTTGTAAATTTATGAAATGGGTTATTAGTTTTTTGTAGATATAATTTGTTGCTCTCATGAGTTAGATTCCTTTTGATTAGGAGCAACAGTTTCCTTTCTGCTGCCACTCGTTAAATTTTTTTTTACTAAAATATTTGTATTTTTATCATCCTTGGGGATCTCATATTGTTGCAATAGAAAATAATTGTGTCGAGTTCTTAAGGAGTTCTTAGATGGATCTCTTTGTCCATTCTGTCTGATCCTTTTCTGTATTCTCTTGAAGATTCATTTTCTGTGCCTTATCTTAATACAATAAACATACTTTAGTTTTTTCCTTCCTCTATCCGTCTTTCTTCCCCTTTTTTTGGCCAACATCTTTTTTCTATTAAGATGAACCAAAACAATATGATTTGTGATTTATTGGTTGGAGATAAAACCATTCTAGAACTCTCACTTGCAACAGCTTAATTATTCAGGTTGTATGGTTCTTCACTTGCATGGTAGCATAGCCACTTGACCTAGTATTACACACTTAAAAAATTATGGGTCTTTTTTCTTTCCATTTTAATAATTAAGTTAAATAATGAACAAGATTTGTGTGAGCTTCATTGCAAAGCTCCATGAGCTTGCATATGATGTAGCATCTTAGGGATTGAAGCTGTTTTTGAGACCTTAGCTATTTGTTTAAGTTTCTTGGTTCAACAATTCTTGACATAACCAAACCACCCAAGGAATGATCTTATTGTGTTTGTAATTGGTGCTACATTCTTGACATAATCAAAACAACAATTCTTGACTTTGTAACAATTAACTTATTTTTCTTATCATTTCTTATATTATCACATTATCATTACATCCTCATTCAGCTACATTCATCTTATGAGCTAATTATTGTCTATGTGCCACATGTTTAAAGCCATATAAAAAGTAGTCTAGTAACAAGTTTATAGTATTTCGTTCTCACTCGGTAGTTATCTTACCATTGCATGTATCCTTGTGGAAGCTCTCAACTTCGTAAAAAACTAATCTGAATTTTGAATAGCATTCTTGTCAAGTTCTTACTTAGGATAAGTGAGCATAATGCCTAAAGCAACTGTTTTTAGGAGTTATTCAACCATCAAATTTGACAGCCTTATCTCAGCTCTTTGATTTACCAAATTATAGTCTATTTTCCTCTTTTTATTTGTACTTGTCCCAAAACTCTTAGATTATAAGTTCCCCATGGTTCCATTTTTAAAATCTAGCATGATCATATAAAAAACAATTGGCATGGACCATTTGACATTGTCCAGATTATGTGTGTTAAGTTTATTATCCAACAACAATTGCAGAATGATTCTAGCTTGGGTGGATACCTTTTTAAGGTTATTGGCATTGGATTGGACCAAATTTTGTATTAGCTCTAATTGCCTACCCTCCAAATTATTTTCTTTCTTTATCACATTGGTTGGTTGCATTGGTGCTCAATTTTCTCCAACAACCACAAGAATCTTTACACATTCTCTTAAATGTTTTCTGTAAATGAGTAAAAACCATATAGGGATTTTCTCCTTCCCCTGGATATCTTTTTGTTAACTTGAGAGTAGAGGGGAAAAAAGATAACTTCCCTAGTCAACTTTTAGGCATAAAACCAAACTGGTTCTTTGACATTCCAGCGTCACATCCAATATGTGAATCTATTGCTCTGTTCCACAAATTCATTGTATGACATGAGCTTGATTTCATAATAATTGTTGCAACATCTTTTTTTTTTTTTTTTCTTTTATAAATAGATACTCACTATAGAACCACATCCTTTTAGAGTTTCCTAGAGAGTCATGAAAAACATGTTTGCAATATTTTATCTTTAACTTTTCTCTAGGTTGTCTCATGAATGGGGTCTTATGCTCCTATCAGTTTAAAGTATGCTATTGCTAGCATGAGAATTTGGTGGATCAGATAGATAGACCCTATCTATGAGCACCAGGTTGTGATCTTTAGATTGAGGTGTTCCTTTGTGTAATTTAAGAAAGTGTGGTTCTTGCATTCTAGTTAACTTGCATTTGATATGTTTGTCATCAGAGCTTAATGTGCAACATTAATGACATTAGAAAGTTTTTAGTTTACAGTCTCAAACATTGCAAGCTTCAGTAATGAGGACATTCTTTTTGTTAACTGTAATTTTGTTCTTCATATCTGATGTTTGGCTCCTCTCAAAATCCAGGTGTCTTCCGTTAAGGTTATCCGCAATAAGCAAACCAGTCAACCCGAAGGGTATGGATTTGTTGAGTTTTATTCACATGCAGCGGCTGAAAAAGTTTTGCAAAGTTACAGTGGATCTTTTATGCCAAATACTGAGCAGCCTTTTCGTCTGAATTGGGCTTCATTTAGTGCAAATGATAGGCGGTCAGATACTGGTTCTGATCTATCTATATTTGTAGGAGATTTGGCTGCAGATGTAACTGATACAATGTTGCATGAGACATTTGCTAGTAGATACCCATCTGTTAAAGGAGCAAAAGTTGTCATTGATTCAAACACTGGTCGATCAAAAGGTTATGGTTTTGTTAGGTTTGGTGATGAAAATGAAAGGTCAAGGGCCATTGCTGAAATGAATGGTGAATATTGTTCAAGTAGAGCAATGCGAATAGGTGTTGCAACCCCTAAAAAGGCATCTGGATATCAGCAACAGTATTCTTCACAAGGTACTTTATAATGGATACCTTGTACTTGAAAACCTCCAATTTGTTTTCTTTGAAGTCCTGTTTTGCATTTCGCTTTGTTTTCTATGTTCTCTTTCTGAAATTTCATTTCAAATTTTTTTGCTTTTTCCCTTTCATTGTTACTTTGGGAGTCTTTTCTGGGTTCTGTCATGAGGAAAGGGCCAAGGATCCAAAGCTTGAGTGGCCGTTCATTCAATTCTTCCTCTTTTCTGCTTCAATGAAGCATTCCTGATCACTTAACTGTTGGATGACATTTAAATTGAATGATTACTGAAGCCTTGCTAATCGATTTGTCCTAATACTTGATTGATAGCTGTTTGTAACGAGTGAAAGCGTTGTGTCTTTGCAGTTTAAATCCATGTTTCAGTGGAGCTTCTTTTCTTTAATTTTTCCATTTTCTCTTTGATTAGCTTTGGTACTAGCTGGTGGACCTGCATCAAATGGTGCAGCAGCCCAAGGGTCTCAGTCTGATGGCGAGTCAAATAATGCTACTGTGAGTTTATCTTCCCGCTTCTGTGTGATTGCTGCAGATAAATATCTCAATAATTTACTAAGTTCTGTTTGATTCAGATATTTGTAGGAGGACTTGACTCTGATATTAGTGATGAAGATCTCAGACAGACTTTTTCTCAGTTTGGTGATATTGTCTCTGTGAAAATACCAACTGGTAAAGGATGTGGATTTGTACAATTTGCTAACAGGTGCCTACCTACTTCTAGTTCACTACATTGAAGTTGCACCTTGTAGGATTATTTCGGTTCTATCAAAAAGGACTAATTGTATCACATCTCAATTATCTCAAAAAAAAAAAAAGCAAAAAAAGTACCTTCTGCAAGTTTATTTAAATGAAGTGATGTAGGTGAGATCTAATGGTTGATCTCTATACCAATGTAATGGCCTCACCATGTTTTCTTACTCATGTAGGAAGAATGCTGAGGATGCAATCAAGAATTTGAATGGAACAACCATAGGCAATCACACGGTCCGTCTTTCTTGGGGTCGCAGTCCAGCACACAAGCAGGCAAGTTACCTCCAGCTAATAGGATATTGCTAGTGTTTTCTTCTTCCTCTTCTTCTTCTTTTTAACTTCTTTTGTTCACTAATTTGGGCGATAAGATGCATGGCTCGGTTGCATCGTTTTCTTTCATATTTGAATAGAAATTTTAACTACCACTAGTCTGCTATATTTTTTGGATAACGATTTTCCACTTAAATCTTTCAAAATGGCTGAATCCACCATTGAAAGCTGAACCTATCATCTTCACTTCTCATATAATACCTTTTCCCCCTTTCAATTATTGAAATTGGCTTTAACAGGGGAGAGGAGAGCATAATAATCAGTGGAATGGTGCATATTATCGAGGCCAGGGCTACAATGGGTATAGCTACGCCATAGCAACAACTCAAGACCCGAACGTGTATGCTGCAGCTGCTGTTCCTGGGGCTTCTTAAAGCACGTACCAACAATAACTCAGGGCATGTAATCCGAACCTGTGGGACTGGATTTAAATGTACTACTCATCAGATAGGTGTTGTAATACAATCTGTTGTGGCTGCTGCTTTAGATGAATCTGTGGATTGAAGAATTTTGTAGTTGGATTTATATTTAAAATCTTGGAGTTTTAGCCTTTTAGGCTGTATTAATACATTATTTACACTTGCACTTGTGGAATGTGCTTGAGAGGTATTCTTATATTCATCGGGAATTTTTATTCATCCTTTTCTTTTATTTTTTATCCCCTTGGTATGATGTTGTTAAAGAGACACAAGATGAGGAAGCTTTTACATCATCCCTTTTTCTATTTTTTTAGCTTAAGATCCATATTTATTTGATTTATATGGTTTTTTTACTCCATCTTACTCCCTCCCAGAGATGGTAATTTCCTCCGAAAATGAAAATTTCAAAAATATTTCTTCTTGTCAAGTGAGGATGGAGGTAATTTTTTTCTGTAAAATTTCATGGGAATTTCCTCCATCTTGTGAAAACCCATAAGGATACATAAATAATAAAAAAATATAAATTTTATTCTTATGTATATTTTTGTAAATATATTATTAATTAATTTTTACTCACCTAATTCAATTGATTAACCCAACTCAATCTAAATTGTCTAGCCTAATTCCTTTTTCAATTCTAGTCTTCTCAAACCCAATTTAATAACCCAACCCAACCTAGATATATATAGCAATTCATGCATTTCTTTTTTTATAAATTTACTGTTAGACATGTATGATAGTGTCTATTTACTGTAATTGGTTACTGCATATTACTTTGTTGCATGATATATTAATGTATTTATTTGTTTGAGTTATTTTAAATTTTTATTTTTCTTACCTATCAAGAAAAAATAAAATAAAATTATATATATTTAATATTTGACAGAAATTTCACAAATTAGTGGAAATCTATCATTCCTCATAAGTATAGAAACGAGGTCATTTTTAACTCCCTGCCAAAAATTCTCACATTCTCACAGAAATCCTCATACCTACCATTGGTGGGAATGGGATAGGGAGGGGTGTTTGCCGCATGAGAATCCATTGTCATCTCTATCCCTTTAAAAAATTAAATCATTTGACCTTGTTACCCTAACTTTAAATAATACTTTTTTATAGTATATAAATAATAATTAAAATTTTTTAATGTAATTTTTATTGAATAATCTCATTTAATAAAAAAATTTAATTATCATTCATATAATATAAAAAAAATATTACTTAAAAATACGTAGAAAAACTTAGGGGCCTTATTTTTTGAGACAAAGCAAGTATAAACCAGAGCAAGACTCAGGCACAGAAATGGGCACAAGTGATTCTTACAGAAACAATCAGAACCCAAAACATGTCACTGGTTTCCAGGCTCTATTTTTAATAGTTAATTTTGATTATTTAAATTTTAAAAATCAAAATTAAAAACCAAAAGTCACCATCATACTAAATAGAGTCTTAAATTTCATAAATGTTTCGACTCTCTTAATTCACATCTTCATCTTCTTCACAGCCAAAAGAAAAATAATATATATATATATATATATATATATATTCATCTTCTTAACCCACTCTGAAATAACAAGTTTCATCTTTATTAATTCTTTATCCCAAAACCATACCGATTCTGCTTATTGGCTGCCTGCCTCCATGGTTGCTACCGATCACAGCTCTTACTTTTTGGGTTCAAGCCGTCCAATTAGCTTCATGACATTTCTTTTTTTTTCCAATTCTTATATATTGATATTAAAACTTGAACTCAAAAACTCTTACAAAGAAATTAAATGAAATATTTTGCAGAGAACTACTAATGAAATTAACTTAACCTAGTCAATGCTTCTTCTAATAAATGAAAGTATAGTTGAAGATGCAATTTGTGATAGATAAGTCACATGTATCAATTGGCTTTAATTTTATTTATATTTGATGACTAAGTCAATAAAAGTGAATATTTTAAGAACAAAAAATGGCTGGAAGCATGCACACACCAAGCAGCCGGTTTTATACCAAGTCAACGAAACAACCCATTTTTAAATCATAAGACTTTCGTGATCGTGCCATAAAAAATTATCAAGAGAAACTTAATTAAATTGGGACCCAAAAGTGAAGTGCCATCCATTTCGTGCACACTGTATTTCACTTAACCATTAATAAGAATACGTTGTTGGAGTTTAATTCCTTAACTCTTCATTAATAATTAAAAATATTACAGTTTGTGAAGAGTGAATTACATTAAAGCATTCTCCCTTTTTCTTTTTTTTATGGCCGAAACACTAAAGCATTCTCAATTGGGAATGAAAATACTTTTTCTTTACTACAAAAAATTAATTATACCACACCCAAAAAAGTCATGTTTTCTAATATAAAAAAATGATGTGCAGTTCACCATACACAAGCTATATATACATCACATAACCATTAATGAGAGATGAACCTTTTGATATTGGCATGATCTCTCCTTCTATCAATAATTGTAAATTATACAATTTCTAAATGACAAATTATAAAACAACTATCTCTTTCTAATAATAATAGATATAATAATAATATGAGGTTGAGGACTTGAATGATACAATTAAAAAGTTACAAACCATTTAATTTTTTTAATACTAGCACTTGAGTTTGCTTCCCTTAATTTATACTAAGGGCCTGTTTGGTACAGGAGTTAAAATTCAACGGATAGTAGATAGCGGGTAGCGGGTAGCGGGTAGCGGGTAGCGGGTAGCGGGTGACGGTTAGCGGATAGTGGATGGCGGATGGCGGATGGCGGATGATGGAAAGTGGGTAGCGGATGGTAAATAGCAGATTCGATAAATATAACTGTTTGGCTATACAATGGTTAGCGGTTGTTATTTAACATTAAATGACTAATAAGGACATGTTTAAAAA